GCAATGCCCACAGAGGTCAGAAGAGGCTGTCAGATCCCCTGAGACTGGAGCTATGGACAGTTGTTAGCTGCCATTGGGTGCTGGGATTTGAACTGGGGTCTTTTGCAAGAACAGTGTTCTTAACCACTGAGCCATCTCTCTAGCCCTCCACTTAATATTTTTAGACTATGGTTATCCAGGGTGACTGAAACCACAGAAAATAAACTCCATATATCAGGGTCTACCTAGATCAATGAAACAATACAGAAATAAGCACATACACTTAGGGTCAACTCACTGGAAACAAAGGTACCAAGACAAATCCCAGACATAGGTGGTTGAGGCAGGAGGATCACTGGTTGTTTAAGGCCAGCCTGGTCATGCATCAAGTTTCAGGCCAGTCAGAAATACATGGCAAGACCCTGTCTCAACAAAAACAAATACAATAAAAAATAAAACAATGGTGTGGGTACAAATGAGAATTCATATACTCCATCCTTACTCCATCAAATTTTAATGACTCAGGGGCTGGAAAGAGATGGCTCAGCAGTTAAGAGCACTGGCGCTCTTGCAGAGGACCTGGGTTTGATTCCCAGCACCCACATGGCAGCTAACAACCGTCCATAACTCCAGTTCCAGGGGATCTGATACCTTCTTCTGACATCCATGGGAAGCACAACACTGATGTACTTACACACATGCAGGCAATACACTCATACACATAAAATAAATGAATACTGACTCAAAATATATCACAGATCTAAATATAAAGGATAAATAAACCTACGCCTGGTGTGGTGGCACAATCCTTAAATCCTAGCACTCTGGAGGTAGAAGCAAGTAGATCTCTATGAGTTCAAGGCCAGCCTGGTCTAGATAAGAATTCCAAGTCAGTCAGGACTATGGAGTGAAACTGTCTCAAAAAAAAAAAAAAAAAAAAAGTTAAACTTAATTGTAAAAGCCCTATATTTCTTTAAGTGCCACAAGACACTGTCTTTAAAAAAAAAAAAAAAAGGTGGGGGGATGGCTCAGGAGTTCAGAGTACTACTACTCTCTGCTCTTACAGAAGACCTAGGTTCAATTCCCATCACCCACATGGCAGCTAACAACTGTGTGTTAACTCTGGTTACAGGAGATCCAACGCCATCTTCTGACCTCTGCAGGCATTGCACAACACAGGTATATCTACATACATGCAGGCAATACACTCATACACATAAAATTAAAAAATAATAAAAAGAAACGAAAAATAAAACTGCAATAAGCTATGACTACATACATACTAGAATTGTTTTAATCCAGAAAACTGACACTATGAAGTGATGGCTAGGACATAGAGAAACCAAAAGCCTCTACATTACTGGTAGATGAATACAACACAGTACAGGAGGCATATTAGAAAACAATTTGGCAGTTTCGTAAAGAGTTAATCATAGGACTAGGGAAACTGCTCAGTCAATAAACTCCTCCCTTTACAAGCAGGAGGTGCTGAGTTGGTTACTGAGATCCCTTGTTTAAAACAAGCCAGGCATGGCAGAGAAAGTTAAGTATCTGGGGGAGATAACATCCAAGGTTGACCTCTGGCCTTCACAAAGGTACACCCACCTACACACCAAAAAAAAAAAAAAAAATCCCACAAAGTTTTAAAAAGTTAAAACAGATTGAATTGAGCTGGAAGCCTTCTCCCTACTAGTTTTCATGGCGCTGGAAGGTGCTATGTAGTTGTTAGGGAGATTTGTCCCAAATTTTTTATTTATTTATTATTTATTTATTTATTTATTTGTGACAGGGTCTCCCTGTAGCCCCAGCTGGCCTGGAACTCACAACCTAGACCAGGCTGTCCTCCATCTCACAGAGAACTGCCTATGTTAGGATTAAAGGCATGAACCACTACACTGGCTTGTCCAACAATGTTACTCAATATGAACCCTACATGGTACACTACCAACCTGTCAAACATGATTCAACAGTGGCATTAACTGTCATGGTGGCAACTAATGACTTTAAGATTGTATCTGAGGTCTTCTGCACAGAAGGGAAATCACCTTTGTAAAATAAACCTAATTAAAAAGCCTATGGCTGGGGAGATAGGCTCTAGTAAGGGAGTTACTGCTCTTTTGCTAAATGGACATGGCTGTCAAAATTACTTTCTAAATGTTTAAATTTATTACCATGGGTTAGTGCTACTATCTGCTTTGATCAGATAAGCTTCTTTAAAGTAATGTGTGGCAGTTACTGGAAAGGCTCATACCTAGTAAAGTGCTGAGAATAAGAGGTTGTTTAATGTTCAGCCTCAACAAGAACTCTATACCACCCTCTCTCCAAGGCTCAGGCAACGTCAGAGAAGAGAAGGTAGAAACAATGTTAAGAAGAGAGGAAGCTGGGCGTGGTGCGCACACCTTTAGTCCCAGCAGTCAGGAGGCAGAGGCAGGCGAATCTCTGTGAGTTCAAGGCCAGGCTGGTCTACATATCGAGTTCCAGGTCAGCTGGGACTACAGGAAGACCCTGTCTCAAAAAGACAAAAAAAAAAGGTGAGGAAGGTATAAACATGCAACGCTATCTTTCTGGTATGGCTTGGTTCTTACACTCTTCAACTTTCAGCAGCTTGGATTACATGCATAGGACCTACACAAAATTGGATCTATCAACATAGTCATGGAATAAAGGAGGTGCTCAGGAAGCCCCCTGCTTCCGGAGGATCTATGGGCAATTAATGATTGCTGGAAGAGGGAGAAACATCTTTAGTGGTATAGCTACAGGTAAGTTGCCCATGCTCCTGGAAATAAACCTAATTAAACTCACTGGTTCATCAGAAAGAGAATAAAAGATAGTTTAGTACAAGGAGATATAGTTGGGAATACAAAAGGGATCACTCAGAGTAAGTGGACAAGAGAGTAATGGGCTGGAGAGACATCTCAGCAGTTAGAGTGTTTACTACTCTTACAGAGGACCAGAGTTTGAATCCCAGTACCTATATCAGGTGGCTCACAACCACCTATAATGCCAGTTCCAGGGGATCCAACACCCTCTGGCCTCCTCAGACATCTATACACAAACATAAATAAAAAATGAATAAATCACTAAAAAAGGGGGAAGAGGGGCTTGAGAGATGGCTTAGCTGTTAAGAGGACCTGGGTTCAGTTCCCAGTATCTACACTGTGGCTAACAATCGTTTGTAACACCTGTTCCAGGGGATCTGATGCCCTCTTCTAGCCTCCACAGGCATTGTATAACATGGGTACATTTGCATACATTCAGGCAAAACACTCACACAATCTGAAACTTTTAAGTTAAAATTTAAAAAAAGAAAAAAAATTTTTTTTAAAGTTAAACATAAACAGGATGTAATCAAGCAATTCTACTGCTAGGCATCTACCCAAAAGAGACAAATCTAAGTACACAAAGACATTGTGTGTGTGGCATTATTCATAATCACCATAAAGTGGAAACAATCCATCTATCTATAAGTAACAAAACTTGGTATGTCTATACAATGGAAAAGTATTCAACTATACAAAGGAATGAAGTACTGATACTTGTGAGAAAAATCAGAGAGGCTGGGTGTGGTGACATACACCTTTAATCCCAGCAGAGGTGGGCAGAACTCTGTGAGGTCAAGACCAGCCTGGTCTATATTGAGTTCCAGGCTAGCTGGGGCTACAGAGACCCTGTCTCAAAAATAAAACAAAAGAAAAAATTCAGAATAACTGAAAGAATCAGATATAAAACCTACTGTATGATTTCCTATAGTAAATTTCTAAAAATGCATAAGTTCCTCACCCAGAAAGCAGATTAAGAGAGCTGGGTTTCAGGACTAGGAACAGGAGTTGATTACAAAAGATCACAGAATTTTTTGACTGGATGAAAACTACACTAAAACTACATTATGGACAGGACTGGACAGATGGCTAAGAAGTTAAGAGCACTGGTTGCTCTTGTAGAAGATCCAAGTTTGGTTTGCAGAACCCACATGGCCACTAAGAACTGTCTGTAACTCCAGTTCCAGCAGATCCAACACCTTCTTCTGGCTTCCATAGGCACTGCGTGACACGAGTCCACTTACATACATGTAGACGAAACACTCATGCACATAAAATATATATTTATTAAAATATACCAACTGTGTACTTACAATGAGCGGGTTCTAAGGCATGTAAACTCTATCTCAGTTCTACCAGGCATGATAGCACATGAGGTGGCACTCCCAGCACTCAGGAGGCAGAGGCAGTTGGATCTCTTTGAGTTCAAGGAAAACTTGGTCTACATAGTGAGTTCCAGGCCAGCTGGGGCTATAGGGAGACCTTGTCTCAAAAAGACCGGAAGGAAAAAAAAAAAATTCTAACCGAGCTAGAAGTCATAGCACTTACTTTTAATCCCAGCACTTGGAAGGCAGAGGCAGGTGGATCTCTGTTAATTCAAGGCCTGCCTGGTCTATATAGTGAGTTGCAGGCCAACCTAAATAGTGAGTTCAACTGATTGATCAATAGATAGACACATAGATATAAGAAAACACCCTTCATTCCCATTATCCTTGATTTTGTAAACCACTAAAAAATTTTAAACTTTAAAAAAAATATTTAATTTTATTTTGTGTGTATAAGTGTATTGCTTGCGTGTAAGTGCACCCATGTCGTGCAAATGTCAGAAGGAGGCACTGGATCCCCTGGAACTGGAGTTATAGATGGTTGTTAACTGCCATGTGGGTGCTAGGAACCAAACCTGGGTCCTCTGTAAAGAGTACTCAGTGCTCTTAACCATGGAGTCATCTCTCCAGCCCCGATTTTTAAAACTTTTTCTTCTCAAATTTTGGTGCTTAGAGAAAGCTATCCCACTTTGCTATACACAAACATATAGCTTAGGGTAAACACCATGTGAAATTTATACTTGGTAAACTGGATTTATCCACTCTAAGAACAATGATATATCATCTCACCATAAGGCTGACACCAGACTGGAAAAGCTCATATGGGTAGAGAATTCTTTCATAGTGTGACTTCAAAAGAGACCCAGTTCCTTTTCCTGGCAGATATCCTAAGCGGCTACCCACTTTAGACCATTTCTTCTCTTTGGTGACTATTTCAAAACCTCCTTTGTTGGCAACAACCTGAAAACAAAGGAAATATTTAGGCAAAGAAGTTAGAGTCAAGCATCCTAACCTCCATCTTACACAATCTTAAAAGAATGTAGAGTAAGGAAAGAACGAACTCCTAGAAGTCGTCCTCTACCTATCTTTACACACACACACACACACACACACACACACACACACACACACACAAAATACTAAAAAAAAGTTTCGCCAGAAATGGTGGTGAATGATTTTAATCCCAGCATTCAGGAGGCAGAGGCACACAGATTTCTGTTGAGTTGCAGGCCAGTCAGGGCTACACAGTGAGACTGTCTCAAAAAAGTTTCTTTCCCCTAAATTTTAGGGAAAGTAAAATTCTGGCATCCTAATCTTGTCTGCTAACTATAAAAATGCTATAACATTTCCTTTCATCAAATATATGACCAAACTGGTATTATGTTAACATACAAAGGAATGGAGACAATGACTTTTGGAGGTATTAAACCTTTAAGTTATTGAATCCATCTTCAAACATAGGACTTTAATAAATTTATACTTTGTAAATTACACAGTGTGAGAAAACTATGCACTAAACTAAGGTATACATTCTTAAGGACCCAACAGTATGAAACCAGATTAAAAAACAAGTTGGATGTGATGGTGAAAAAAAAACAAAAAAAACCCAAACAACAGAAAGAACCACTCAGGGGAGCTTAGAGTCATTTCAACAGTTAAAAGTGCTTGCAGAGGACCTGAGTTCAGTTCCCAGCACCCATATCAGGTATCTCACAACTGGCAGTGATTCAAGCTGTTCCAGAGACTCTGACCTCCTCTTCTGGCCTCCAAGGGCACCTGTACATATATGCGTACACACATACACACACACATACACACACACACACACACACACACATTTTTTAAAACAAGGGGGGCTAGAGAAATGGCATAGCAGTTAAGAGCACTTGTTGCTCTTGCAGAGGACCCAAGTTCTGTTCCCAGGACCCATATCAGGTGGCTCGCAAACCACCTGTCACTCCAGTTCCAGAGGATCTGACAGCCTCTTCTAGCCTCTGTGGGTACCTTCACACATGTGGTGCATATACATATACTGAATATATATTCAGTTAGAATACAAACATAGACACACACACATTAATCACATCACACAAAACAGAATGAATAAATTAATCTTTAAAAGAGCAAGGGCTAGAGAGATGGCTCAGTGGTTAAGAGTACTGACTGCTCTTACAGAGGACACAGGTTCAATTCCCAGCACCCACATGGTAGTTAACAACTGTCTGTAACTCTAATTCCAGGGAAATTCGATGCCTTCTTCTGACCTCCTTTGGCACTGCACGACACGGGTGCACTTTCACACATGCAGGCAATACACTCATAAACATAAAATAAAAATAAATAAAATCCTAGTCAGGTGTATGTATCGCCCAGCACTCAGGAGGTGGAGAAAAGAGGATCAGATTGAAAGCCAATCCAGTTACATAGCAAAGTGAAAACCACCCTAAGTTACACTAGACCTTGTTTCAAAAAAGAAAAAGAAAAATGCAGACATAAGATATGTTTATGTAACAAAATGAACAAAAATCCTAAAATAAGGTACTTTAGAGAGATGGCTCAGAGGAAGTAGAGACAGGAAGGTCAGAAGCTTAAGGTCATCCTAATCTACCCATCAAGTTAGAGGCCAGCCTGGGATACATGAGACTGAAGGTGGGGAATGGAGGGGTTGTGTAACTACAGTAACAGAGGATAAGGGGCATAAAGTGTTCAAAAAATAAAACTGGCCTGCAACTCACTATATAGACCAGGCTGGCCTTGAACCCAGAGATCCACCTGCCTCTGCCTCCTGAGTGCTGGGACTAAAGGCATGCGGCCACCACGCCTGGCTAAGATCATTTTTATTATTGTGTTTATGATAGGGCATGGACACATGCCACAGCACATGTGTGGAGGTCAGAGGACAAGCTTACAGAGTCATTTTTCTCCTGTCTGCCTTCCTTCACATGGGCTCTGAAGATTGATGTCAGTTCAACAGGGTTATGGCAAAGTACTTTACCTGTGGAGCCATCTGATTGTCCTAGATTTAAAATCTTTTAGACCTACAGCTCATAGTAAGAAATTAGTGCACAGTATATAGAACTGAAAAGTAAAATGTCCTAAGCATATTAATCTGAAATGTAGAATTCAAAATCAAAAACAGCTAAAAAAAAAAAAAAAACAAAGTGACTAGGTAGGAGTGGGAATGGTGTGGAGAAAAAAAGAGAATAACTTCCATTTTACGCCTGATTTTGTAAAAGTGTATTACTCAGGCAAGCAAGTTAAAAGCACTTGTGGGCACACACTTGACAACCAGAGTTCAATCCCTGGAACCCACAGTGGAAGGAGAAAACCAACTTCTAAGAGCTGTCCTCTAACCACCTCATGTGCACCGTGGTACATGTGTTCACATACACATCATAAGCACCCATGTGTACCACACAATTTTTTTAAAAAGTTGCCAGGTGTAGTAGCACATGCCTCTAATCTTAGCACTCAGTAAGGGAGAGGCAGGCAGACCTCTATGAGATCGAGGCCAGACGGGTCTACAGTGAGTTCCAGGCCAGCTGGGGCTACAGAGAGACCCCCATCTCAAATATAAAGAAACAAACAAACAAACAAATAAATAAACAAATAAATAAGTAATATCATAAGAAATGTCTTTTATTTTACCCTTTTTAGAAATATTAGTAGGGCAGTAGGCACACATGTGGTTATCTCCATACATGTACAACACACACATAAAATAAAAATAAAATCTAAAATCTGTTGTAGGTCAGCAACTTCTATTCATATCATAAAGTGATGAAATCAACAAATTTGGGGGAAAAGGGTCTAAACTTTTCTTTTTCTTATCTGTATGAGTGTTTTGCTTACATATATCTACGTGCACTCATAGTTATACAATGCCTGCAGAGGTCAGAATGATGCACTGAACTATTTCTCCAACTCCTCTGTTTTCTTCTTTTGAAACAGGGTATCACTATATAGCCATGGCTGTCCTTTAACTCACAGAGATCCACCTACCTCTGCCTCCTGAGTTCTGGGATTAAAGCTGTGCACCACAATGCCCTGCAATTTTTTTTCTTTTTCTTTTTACGGTCCCATGTAATCCAAGCTGGCCTCAAACTCATTATACAGTTAAGAGATGACCTTAAGCCTCTGGATCCTCCTACCTCTACTTCCCAAACTCTGATTTATAGGCATGTACCACTAAGCTCAGTTTAATGTGGTGCTGGGGAATCATGCATACTATGTAATCAGTCTAAAAACTAATCTATATCCCCAGCCTCATGTATTCTTTTTTTTAAAAAAAGTATTATTTTTTTTTATGTGTATGCGTGTATTGCCTGCATGGTAAGTGCACCCATGTCGTGCAATGCCCGAGGAGGACAGAAGAGATTGTCAGATCCCCTGGAACTGAAGTTACGGACAGTTGTTAGCTGCCATGTGGGTGCTGGGATTCAAGTCTGGGTCTTCTGCAAGAACAGTTTTCTTAACCGCTGCACTCTCTCTCCAGCCCCACCTCATGCATTCTTTTTAATGTGTGAAAATTTCTACAGAGAACAGGGAGACAGCTAGGCATGGTGATGCACACCTGCAATCCCCAGCACCTGAGACAGGGGAGTATCACAGCTCCAGGTTCCCTCAGTTACATAGTGAACAAAGTCAGCCTGGACTACATGAGAATCTGAAAATAGAAAGACGTAAGAAAAAAGGATGACAAACTCAGCAAAAGATATCATACCCCTGAAGATGTCTGTATTTGAAGGGGGGAGGGCAATCAATGCTTTGAAGCACCCCCAAAAAAAGATCTTTAAAAAAAAAAGGTATTGTACCCTCAGCACACTCCATTAGATGAGTGTTTCTTTTTCATATTGTGTATCAGACAACACACTCATCTGAGTCATTAACTAGTAATCTCCTAACACATTATACAAGTCTCCTTCCTTGTTTGTTTTTTAAAAGATATGGTCTTACTTATCTTACCATGTAGGAGCATGGCTGGCCTGGAACTTGCTATGTAAACCAAGATGGTACTGAACCTGCAGTATCCTCTTGCATCTGCCTCCCAAATGCAAAGATTACAGGAGTGTGCTACCATGCCCAACTTAATAGCTTTTTAAAAATTACATTTTATTTATTCTTTTGGATGTATATGTGCATGGCAGCACATGTACCAGAGCAAGCATGTAAAGATCAGAGGATAGCTTTTGGGAGATGGCTCTCTTGTATTATGTGTATTATCTTTTTTGTCTTATGTGAGTCTCAGTGACCAAATTCAGGTCACCAAGCTTACAGACAAGCACCTCTACTCCTCTACCCACTGAGCCATTTTACTGGCCCAACTTTTCTTTTCTCTCTTTTTTTTTGAGTCAGGGTCCCAATCTACAGCCTATACTGACCTGGGACTCACTATAAACAGCTTTTAAAGCTATCTTCAAAAAGTTAATAAAGCCATGCATGTTAGCACACGCCTCTAATCCCAGTACTCAGGAGGCAGAGGCAGCCAGATCTGAGTTCAAAGCCAGACTGGTCTATATAACCAAGTTCCAGGCAAGAGTTACATAATGAGACTCTTTCAAAAAAAGAAGAAGGAAAAAAAGGAGCGGGAACACGGAACAGGGGCTAAAGAGATGGCTCAGTGGTTAAGAGCATTTGCTGATCTTTGCAGAGGAATGGTGTTCAGTTCCCAATATCCACAGGGTGGCTCACAACCATCTATAACTCCATTTTCAAGGCATATGACACCCTCTTCTAGCTTCTGAGGGCACGAAGCATAAATGTGGTACACATAACATAGATGCAGGCAAAACACTCATACACATAAAAATGTTTTTTTAAACCCTATCATTCCTGTTTATTCATATATACATTTCACTGCCAAACAAATCTACATTAGAAACAATGTTTCCCACCAAGATTATTTAAAATTCTTAATTTCATAAATTCACAAACCTCTGCTTAATTTCTTTATGGTGTTGAGCATGCTAGGGATTAGACCTAGAGTGTGGCACACTCTACCACTGAGCTGTATCTCAGTTCCTCTGTTCCATTTTTAAACAAAGTGCAGACCTTACCTTGCTTAAAGCATACAAATCCAGGATTTTTCTCTCTACCACAGGGATCTTCAAAGTAGATCCTTGAAGTTCCCAAAATTTTGCCAGTTGATCCAAGAAGTCCAATCTCACTCTAGTCATTGCCTAAAATTATTAAAATGCAGAAATCAGAAATACAGGCCTGGTGACAAAGTTTAGTCATAGATCATTTGTCTAGCACGCTCAAGGCCCCGTATTCAATCCCCTAATACTGGGGGTGGGAAAGAGAAAGAAATCAGGCCAGCAAGAGGATTCAGCATGTAAAAGCACTTGGTACACAAGCTTGAAGACCTGAGTTCAATACTAGATCCACCAGGATGATGGAAAGAGAACTGACTCCCACAAATTAAGTGGCTGCCTGCAAAGGTTTGATAAACTAAGAGCAGGCTTAGCTGTAGAAATAGCCAACAGAAGTAGAGATTCTAGATAATGACTGTGCGTCAGTATAGAGCATGTCAAATCAAAACACTTCACGCACCTTACCAAAGGTCTGAAGCCCTTTGTTATCCTTGCCTCCAATCCAGAAAAAAGTGCCCAAGTCTCCCTCTCCCAGTGCCACCCCCTCCTCCTGTCATCCTGTCTATGGCTCTCTCTCTTTCTGTTGCTTTAAGATATCCCGCTTAATGAAGGTCCTCTCTAGGTTTTAAAGGGAAGCTTCTCCTTCCCTTTAAGGTCCTATTTATGCTGTTTTTAATATAATTGTTATTGTTTGTTTCTAATGCTTTCCCACCTAAACACTGGATCATAGTCTTGAGGCCCTTTCTCCTAATAAACCTCATTCCTGAAGGATAATTATGTGCCAACTCCTTTCCCAAACTAACTGCTACTGTCTGCATTCTTAGAGCTAACAATATGTATGAAAATATAATAATGGGACCCATTATCTTTTGCCAGGCATGGTAGCACACACCATGGCAGAGGCAAGTAGATATCTGTTTGTTCCAAGTCAGCCAGATCTACATAGCCAATTCCAACCCAGCACGGTGAGACTCTATCTCAAAAAATTAGAAATAAAAATTCCAAATCCAGAGTTTGACATCATGGCAAGGGCCAGTAATCACAGAACACTCAGGACATTGAGACAGGAGGGTTACCATGTGTTCAAGGTTAGCCTGGACTACATCATAAGTTTCAGACCAGCTTGGCTACAGAGAAAGATTCTGGCTCAAAACTGGGGAGGAGGAACCTGGAGAAATGGCTCAGCAGTTAAGAGCACTTGCTGCTCCTGCTAAGACCTGGGTTCAGTTCCTGGCACCCACACGGTGGCTCACCGTGCAAGCTCCAGGGGATACAACTACTTCTGGCCTCTGCAGGTACCAGGCACACAAAATGTGCATACACATACATTTAGGCACTTACACATGCACATAAAAATAAATCTTTTAAAAAGGGAGGGGGGCTAAGGATAGAATATAGCTTCAACTGATATGGTGAACCATATAACTAGGCATTGTAGTGCACACTTGTAATTCCAACAGAGGGAGAGGCAGGGATATCAGGAGATGCAAGTAATCCAGGGCTATATATCAAGTTCAAGGCCAGCCTTGAATACAAAACCAAAAAGAATTCCAGTAAGCACTGGATTTCCCGCTATGACAAACACTGTCAAAAGAAAATAGTTTCCTATTATCTCAGTTAAGTGATAAAAACTGTAGTAACTACTTGAACCAATCTTTTTAAACTTAGACACCTGACTCTCAAGTATCAAGTAACTGTTCAATCCAACACAAACTCTGGGCCTTGGTACATGAGCTTGTCAAAGTTGTCTACTTAAAGTCTAATACAAACTATTAGGAGGCTGGGGCTATAAAGCCACAGTAGAGCATTTGCTTAGCATGTATAAAGTACTGGGTTCCCAACACCACACACAAACAAAATTAATCTAATTCATCTAATACTCACCTCAAGTTCATTCAGGCGCTGGACTCTGGGAGTGAAACGAAAGGTTTTTACTTCACATGCAAATGGAGGTTGCCAATCCTAAATGGGAAGAAATGTTCCTTTTGAACACAGTGATATATAAGCAAGCAGTGCATAATTTAGTTAAGGTGGAGATGCCACAAATCATGACAATACACTGGCATATTGTAAGTCTTTACTGTAGGGACAAAAGTAGTATTTTTATATAGGAGTTTTCATTTTAATATTATGTAGAGAAGCAATTCTCAAAATCTTACCCTCCTGCAATACAAAACTATGCTTTCCAAAGTTATTCAAACAAAATGCTATGAGCTTATGTAAAACAAATCAGCCTTATCAAATAAAACTTTTTTAAAACAAGGATCCAACAACTAGGAATTGTGGCACATGCCTGTAACCCTAGCACTGGGGGTGGGGTGAGGTGAGGGGAGGATCAGCAATTCCAGGTCTGGACTAGACTACACAGCCTGACCACCAACAGCAACAACGCTGAAAAAGAAAAGCAGATTCCAGAACTTCTATATTCAGAAATTGACTCTACTCCTAATTAAAACATCTATATTATAACAAAATCTAGCTGACCCTGAGGCAGACCAGTTTTGGGGGTTTTCTTGCATGATGCTGAGGACTGAAACCCAGCCTTGGAGCACTCCACCACTCAGCAACAACCCCAGCCCAGCAACACCATCTGGAAAGCACCGGTCTAATGAGTAAAGAAAAAAAGTCATTTGACCTTGAGCATATCACTTAACCTCTTGGGAATTCTCATCAATAAGGAGTATCTGCTTTCCTAACCTTAAAAACAGGATGATTAACCAACAACCTATGCACAAATTTAATTTTTTATATTACAACTCTGAGATCTTTGTTCCTTAATTTCTTACATCAAGGGATCTCAACGTTTTCTTCCACTGCCATCACTGACCAATTCCTGCTATTCCTCTACATTTTAAAAACAGATACTCTTTACCATCCCCAGGGACGACTTTCTCATCGCAGCAGTAATTAGCTTGGGGTTTTTGTCTGGGATGCCATCCTGGGGGCAACTAGCGCTCGGATTACCTTTTAAGAAACCCCAGACGGAAGGAGGGGTGGGATTAAAAAAAAAAAAAAAAAAAAAAACTAATGGGAACCTTCATTATTCTGCCAAAGTTGACCCCATTTTGGCAAATCCTTTGGTCTTTGATTTTGTCTCGTGGATTTCCTTTTAAAAAACCCCAAACGGAGGGGGGGGGGGGAATAAAAAAAAAAAAAAAAAAAAAAAGGGGGGGAAACCCTAGACCTGAGCAGGGGCCTGCAAAGGTTTGCTAAACTGAACATTAGCTCAGACACAGAAACGCCCACAGAGGTGGAGTTTCTGCAGGGAACCACAACAAGGATGGTGCATGAGGTTAGGCCATAACACTTCGAACACCTTACCGACCAGCCAAAGACCTGAAGCCTTATCCTTGCCCGTGATAAGAGAAAAGTCTCGGAGCCCGAGTTTTAGGCGGAAAAGACCCCAGAGACACCACTTTCTCGCGTCTGAAAGTGGACACGAGCGTCGGTGAGATGGCTCGGGGCGCTAACCGCCAAGCCTGACATCCCCGAGAAGCACAAGGTGGAAGGGGAGAACCGATTCCCACACGTTGTGTTCTTGTCGCCGTCTCTCCCATAAATAATAAATGCAACAGAGGACGAGCCTGCAGAAGAAACCAAGGCAAAACCTCCTCCAACGCAGCTTCCAGTTACCAAGAAACTAGGGAGAGTTTACACCCAAAACTCCCGGAGTAACGCCCGTCGCCCCCCCCCCCCCCCCCCCCCCCCCCCCCCCCCCAAGGGTTCACTGGGAGGTAGAGGCCCACCCTAAACTCAAGGCACACCTGATGAGCATCATGGCATGAGCCTTCTCCAAGGTGGCACATCTCGCTTGCAGACGGTCCTGCTGCCTGTCAATTCCTACCCTAAGGATGTACCACACGACATGCTCCAGCTTCCCAGCCCTCCTACCCAGACTGCCAATAAGGAACAGAGGCTACAACTACCTTACAACTGCTGGAAAATCAGACAGACACAGCCGACAGTCAAGCAGGGTGAACCGGCCTC